AAGTTTTGCTTTAAGATGATCAATTCATTCTGGGTTTTAAGAGCCATGCTTGCTGGATACTACAGTGACAGTGCAATCCTATACATCTCTAGCCAGAACTACCCTCCACTGAGATCCATGGCTCTTGCACTCATTTAAATTTATATAGGATTGCAGTTCAATCCATCATTTATATAGAGTTCTCTATCTGAGATATTATTTCTATGCCCATATGCCTATATAACACACTACAATATTCAGGTTTTAAGTTTGTTAATAAGTTGCAATTCAGCAGCTTCTCTTTCCAGTTTATTTCTGAAATTCCTTTGTAGTAAAACAGCTACTTTGAGATCTTGTATAGAATGTCCTGGGAGATTGAAGTGTTCTCCTACTGGCTTCTCTGTCTTGTGATTCTTGATGTCAGATTTATGTCCGTTTATTCTTTGGCGTAAGGTTTGGCCTGTTTGTCCAATATAGAGAGCTGAAGGACACTGTTGGCATTTGATGGCATATACAATGTTAGACGATGAGCAATTAAATAGTCCCGAGATGGTATGTGTGATGTTGTTGGGGCCAGTAATGGTGTTGTCTGGGTGTATGTGGCAGCAAAGTTGGCATCTGGGTTTATTGCAGGCTCTGGTGCCAGTGTCCGTGTTAAGTCTGGTTGTAGTATTATTGTGGGTTAGGAGTTGTTTAAGATTGGGTGGCTGTCTGTAGGCAATGAAATTTCAAATGCACATCGTCTTACAGACTGCAAGAAAAAGATACAGTACCTATTCTCATACATACAAACACAAATGCCCCTGGGTTTGGGGTTCATTTCTACTTGGTTCTGAGTTATTCAAAGTGTGCTTGCTACACTCTGTTGTCTGATCTACTTTATATTCTTTCTGTACTATGGTATGTTACCAGAACCAGTGATGTCATAGATTCATATCCATCATCTTTGTCTTTCTCAGTAGCTTTTGCTTTGCATGTTGGCTAGATTTTTAACACTTTCTAGTCTTATCAGTAGTATTTGTCACTTCCATCATATTTGCTTCTTTCCAGGTCCTGAACGCCTTCATTTTTTTGTTTCTATTTTCTTTTGCAAAGGCCCTCAAATAAAAAACACAAAATGTGTTTTAATAGTGTATGCTTGTGAAAAAGCTAACGAAAAGGCTTGATCCAAATTTAATTTAGAAAGAATTATGGTAATTCAGTGTGTTTGCTATTTTCTCAGATTGGAAACGATGCCAACACTTCTTTTGAAAGTTATGCCAAGTTATAACAGAATTGAGTTTAAAACTGAGAAATTAACATTTATCCCAAAGAATTGGGGTGTGGACTGTAGGTTAAGGGAACCAGTGTATTAAAAGGGGATCCCAACTTGAATAAATGAAAAAAATAAAATAATTGGATAACATTTTTATTATATCATTATACTACTGCAGTTTATTTTTTTCTGGAAGAGCATTCTCCAGAGTTCACTCAGCCACTGAACCTATGTTTCAGTAAAAACTAAACCTTGTTCACAGCAAAGGTTGAAAGGAGTCATTATGATGTGAGGAAGCAAGAATGACTGGCTTAGTTCATTTGAAAAATCTGTAGATGCCAACACAAACATAGTGTCACCTCGTGGCCCTTTTGGGAAATGTCAGATTTCCAGGTACTCCTTATTGGTCTGTGATCCGTAGTGGCTGAAAAGCCCTGGCTTCAACTCTGCCTACACAACAGCAAGCCTGGAAAGCTCCGAGGGAACAGCCGGAGATAGACTGGCTCCATTTGAGATATCTTAATATGTACCAGTATATCATTTCCCAGAATGCTTTTAGAACCTTACAGGTCCACCACATATGATAGAATGTGCCTTCCTTTTGCTTACATTTCCAGCAGATATTTGCACTTGTCTTATACATTTTTGCAAGCTTACTAGGAGTCAAATATCACCGGTACATCATTTTCATATAATTTTCTTTCAGCGTACAACATGCTGAGAATTTCACCACCACCCAAGCCTCCATTACCTGGATTGTGCAGCAGTGCCTGGCAGCAATAATGGCAGATTCTGGTGAGATCTTGTGAGATCTCACTGAGCTCTTGCAAGATCTTACAGAGCTCATGAGATCTTGTGAGATTTCAGGAAGATCTCACAAGATCTCGCTAGCCTAATACTGCTATTAAACCAACTAGATTTAGTAGGATTATGCATAGGGTTTCCATGTTGGGTTGCAGCTAGCACTGTCAGCAGGGTAAGGTCCTGGCACTTACATGACCTCCCACTACTGACATTGCTGGTGCTGGCAGGGTTGAGTAAGGTTGGCACAGTGCAAACACACCGGTACAGCCAAACTGGTGCTCATGCCAGTGTGTTCACACCACATCAACCTCACCTCCTTCCTCCTCTACCTTCTTGTAAGCCACAGTGATGTCAACATTGGGAGATATGCTAAGTGCCTCCCCCCACCAAATGCTACTGGTTGTGGGTGGCCTATGATTTTAAAAGATTCCATCTTCTGCCCAAGTAGTGTTTTCAAGTGGCCATTGCAGCTGTGCTTTTAACAGCAGCTCAACATGCAGACATAGGGTGATATTTCAATCACCTTGGCGTTGGAGTCTGGGGAAGAGCCGCGACAGTCAAGTGGAGCGGAGCCCGTAGGAGTGCTGCAGGCTCTTCTGCTGCAGGCAGCTCTTCCCCAGACTCCAACGCTCGCCCCTGAACTCGCACCAAGCCGCAACAGCAGAAGAGCCCACGGTACTCCAAAAGGCTCAGCTCCGCTCAGCTGTTGGCTCTTGCCCCAGCTGCATGGCAGCTAACTGTTTTGGTGCCGCACCCAGAGCACTGTGTAATGTTGTGGTGGGATCCGCCGCGCGCTGACAGCACCGAAGGCAGCAACAAAACCCGACGAATAGGAGCACACGGATCCTGTCCGGAGATGTTGCCTCTGACGCCGCTTGCATTCCCCATCGTTCTGCACTGGCACCCCACGTTGGATGGCGCTGGGAGCGTGCGCCGACAGCAGAAAAGCCAGCAAAGGAACCCGCAGCTTGGCGCATGCAACAGGATGCGTCGCACAGTGCCCACAACATTACATGGCGCTCCGGGTGCTGTGCGCGCAGCCGAAACAGTTAACCGCCATGTGGGGGGATGCAGCGGGTGGACAGCACGGCGACTGTGCGCGCTGCCCGACATTTTGTCCCTCCCCCCTGCATGGAACCCGCACCCTTTGTACAACCCTGTGCATGGGACGCTGGCACCCCTTTTGGTTGACGCTGTGAGTCCCTGTGTCCCACAACCGTTCTAAAGGTAAACAACTATTTCCTTTTTAAAAAGCCAACAACTTTGGGGTCCCCCCCCTAAAGAAAGGTCAAGAACTCTGGGCAACCTAGGGGCTCCGGGTGGATCTTTGCACCCCAGCACCACATATGATTAAGACAGTCCTGTGAATGAGCTCAGTAGAAGGCAGTTCTCTCCTCCTGTTCTGCTTAGAATGTCTCCTTCTTTCCTCTTTACAGACTGTAGTTTCAAGGATGGATTGGGGCAATGACAAGAAGATCGTCACCTTCACTTGAGTTGACTGTGTGCTATAAGACTGGTCTCATACTGCAGGGTCTTCCATTTTAGAGTGTACATTTAAGAAGGGGGGGGGAGGGAAAGTGCCCTGCTGCAGAAATTCCTTTCCTCTTCTTAGATGGCATTTTTGCGGGATGGGAAAGGACAGTGCATTTTTGTCACCCAATATGAATGGGAAGGTGCCGCCCCAACTCAAGCCTATCTTTTTACATATATAATTATGTTTTATTATTTTACAAATATAGAATTATAACAATCCAAATTACATATCCCTATTTAGAGATTTCTCCAAATCTCTGGACTTCTCCAAATCCATGGATCCTATTGTCCACCTTCTCAACTGCATATTATTTCATAGTCTATATTTTATATCTTTCCATATTATCCATAATATTCGCTACATTACAAGTGTTATTAAAATCCTGCTAAGGTTTTCATCTGCTTACAGTGGTCTCCTAGATAAATTATATTTTTTCTCATTCTTCGTTGAAGTTTTGGTCTTCTTGGTTTCTGAGCCTTCCGGTCAGTTTTGTCATTTCGGCATAGTCCAACAGCTTGGTTTGCCATGCCTCTCTGGTACGGACTTTGTCTTCTTTCCATCTCTGGGCTAGTAGCATCCGCATTTCTGTCACATACATGAAAAATGTCACAAACATGAAAAGTCTTTTCTGTTCCTTTGGAATGTCAGTACCTACAATTCCTAATAAAAGGCTTCCGGGTTTGTTTGTTTTTACAAAAGTTATTTTAAACACTTTCTTTCAATTCATTATGTTTCTAGTTTTGCTGTGCGCCACAAACCAATCATAAAGCACCAAACAAGTCACACGAACCAGCACTGCAGATTAACACTGATTTATTAACCATAGCTGACAACGTTTTCCTTTTTTTAAGGGAAATTCCCTTATTCCGAATAGGATTCCTCGCAAGAAAAGGGAAACGTTGACAGCTATGTTATTAACAGCAACAGAAAACCCTAAGGTATTTGTTTCTGCCACACAGTTTTAAAATGAAGTCGTAGTCTATTTATATATATATATAGAGTATATAAAGGATTTTTTGGTCATGTTTACCAGACGAAAAGCCGACGTCGTTCATTGGACGAGCTCTTTCAAGTCCCTGTTTGCGGTTCAATGTTATTTAACCGCAAGCTAGTTAAAGGCTTGGAGCGGGGAAATCGTTTATTAAACTGCTAAATTTTAGCAATTTATGCGTAAGATTGGCCGCCTCAGGCCTTCCTTGCAACGGTCCTCTCTCGTCGTGGACTTAAACCATGGAAACAGCCCCCTCCGCTGCCCGCCTGACTTCATAATCCTCAGGATGCAGGGCAGTTTATCGGGGCCTCCCCTCAAATCCCACCGCGGGTACAAAAACAAAGCAAACACTCGCGCACTTATCAAGTTTGGCTCACTAGGCCCGCCGTAGACTCCCCCTTTCCTCCCCCCCGCTTCGCACACGCCTTCTAGCTGCCGGAAGCGCCAACCCGGAAGTTTGGGTGCTCTCGGTAGCCGCACGTGCTCCAGTCCGCCTCGCCGGGAAGAGGGGCGGAGTTCCAAGGACTCTCCTGGCCGGCCATGAGCTCCCGGGCAGCTGTGGTGATTGGTAGGTTCCTTCTTTCCTCCGTCCGAAGGTTCCCGGCGGGGCTGAACCTCCAAGCCCCGCGGCTCATCCCTCTTCTCGTTTCCTCGCAGGCGAGATGCAGGCAGGGGATGGTCCGGACAGCGAGCCTTGCTCGTCTGACGACGGCGGCAGCGACGGCGCCTGGGAGGAAGACGACGAGTCGAAGGCGCCCGCGCTGGCCTCGTGCCTCTTCTGCGACAGGTTCGGTTCCGTTTGCTTCGTGCCCCCGGGTCGGAGGGGAGTCTCCACCCCGACAAGCCTCTCAGCTCTTGCTTTGATCTCAGCAGTGGCTTCAGCAGCTCCCGTCGCCTAGTATATCTGCATCTTTTTCTCATTCCCTTCCTCTGCATTAGTGGAGCCCCCCCCCCCCCGCACCTCCCCGCAACAGCTTCCAACAACAGTAATTATATAGGATACGGAGCAGGCTGCCCTTACACCGACTCGGACCATTGGCCCATCCAGCTTTGTCTGCACTGATTGGCAGCAGCTCTCCAGGGTTTCGTGCAGGAGTCGTTCCCCCAGCCCTGCCTGGAGATCCGTTGGGTAGAATCCGGGATCTTGTGTATGCAAAGCAGGTGGTCTGCCACGGAGCGACATCCCTTGCAAATCCGAATGAATACCTGTAGTAGTTAAACTTGCAAGGAGGAAGTCTTATCAAAGCAAGACGTCGTCTTACAAAACGCCTTCAGCTCCCGGAGATATAATAGATGTCAAAGCATTCTGTTGTATTTTTTAAGCCCCCCCCCTTTTAGTAGAGAGGTGCTGGTGCTGTCTAAGTCAATACAAAAGAATCAAAGGAGTGCAAAGATCTAAGTTTTATACTTGTTGCTATAATGTAGATGGGGGGCTGAAGTTGTTGGGAATGATGGGAGTTACACTGCAGTAACATCTGAAGGGGCACAGGTACCTCCATCCCTGATGTAAAGGCAAACTGGTCAGCTTCTCTGTTCACTTTCGTGGTAACTGCCAGCATTATAACTAATGACTTCCACAAAGTTGGATGGGTTTGTGCAGGGGAATAGCTGTTTAACAGTAAAAATGGGAATAATGATTACTCTGGGAAGGGTTTGACAAGCAAGAGAGGAGCACAGGCAGCAGCCACCTGCTGAACTGTATCGTTCTTATATGCCACTAGTTTCCATCCATCTCTCCTTGCTTTTTTCCTGTTAATTTTTGAAGTTTTTACTGCAATACAATAATATGTTTCCAGTTTCTATTCAGCATTTATTATTCACTTTTATACTCCTGGGCTCAATCTACTGATAATTGTCCAAACCACTATCTACGCAGCTAGATTCCCCCCCCCCACTTTTTAGGAGCTTGTAGTTTGTTTTCTATTGCTATCAAAGTCATATTTTAAAAGCTTAACATAACATATGAACAATTTCTACAACATTTGAACTGTGTTTTCCAAGATTTTTCAGTTCAGCTGAAGATGCTTTTTGCCATTGTACATCAGATCATGGGTTCAATATTGGAAATCTGGCTCATAAACACAGTAAGTTTATTTCTGCGTTTTGCTGCAAGTTTACATTTTACAAATTGGTGAATGGGTCTTAACCTGTGAAATAAAACCCAGATTTCAGAGCACTGGGAAAAGATTTTACGTATACTTTAAGTGTCTTTAGTTAAACTGTTTTAAGTGCTTGTATGGATGTCTTATTGTGTTCTGTTTCAATATGATTGAAATAATTCTATCCAGTGAAGCAGAAAGAGAGAATAAGGGAAGCTGAATAGCATTATTTGAAGCATCTTAAGCTACATAAAAGATTGGTTCATTAGCACTACAGTATAAGTTGCCAAACACAGAAACATGCAAAATCTACCATGTTGGGTGTGACAAGCAAGATTGTTGATGTTAAGACACTCAACAGATCTTGGAGGCTAAAGATAAGCAGTCTACAGTTACATGTACACAAATGGGTGTGTCATCAAGTCTATGTGGATTAGCTCTGTATACATACTGGAACTTTTGAGCCTGAGAGAGATGTCTGGATCTGGACTACAAGAAAATTGCTTAATACTATTGTAAATGGTATCTGAGAGCTATGAAATACCTTTTGTGTGGTGGCAAACTGCCTGCTGTTACAACAGAAAACACTCAAATGTATTGTAAGTGTGAGCCAGTAAGAGAGATGGCATATTCTTGGCAGTCTTCTATAGGGTGATATTAAAAAAAAAAAAACAGTCTAGAGGTCATAGTATGGAATAAAATAGTTCAGCAGAAAGAAACAACCATGTCTGAATTCCAATGGTAAATAGATTAAAATGTTGACTGCCTTTTCAGCTTGACCAAACACACTACTTCTGTTTTCCTCTCTCTTTTCTAGGACTCGATTTCTATGGTTACATCAAGCTAGTGAACTTTATTAGGCTGGAAGTAAGTTACCGAGTATTATCTGACTAAAGTTAAGTTATACTATGCTATGTCTCTTCAAGGGGACGCGGGTGGCACTGTGGGTTAAACCACAGAGCTTAGGACTTGCCGATCAGAAGGTCGGTGGTACGAATCCCCGCAATGGGGTGAGCTCCCATTGCTCGGTCCCTGCTCCTGCCAGCCTAGCAGTTTGAAAGCACCTGCCGGCGGGAAAGTAAACGGTGTTTCCATGCGCTGGTCTGGTTTGCCAGAAGCGGCTTAGTCATGCTGGCCACATGACCCGGTAGCTGTACGCCAGCTCCCTTGGCCAATAAAGCGAGATGAGTGCCGCAACCCCAGAGTTGGTCACGACTGGACCTAATGGTCAGGGGTCCCTTTACCACTACGTCTCTTCAAAGCCATGCTAGTCAGCATTGGTTTAAAGTTTAGTAATAGGTTTATGAGGAAAACAGTGCACTTTTTTCTAAACATGCAATTACTATCCTTTGTTTTCATGCTTACAATTTGTCTAGTTAAATTTGTACATGTAAAATATATTAAGGCTGCAGATTTGGGTATGGTAAGATGTGCAATGGGGAGAGAGAGGTTCTGTTCAGATGTAGAATGTATGGCAAATGTGTATCATATATACTGTTTTTTGTCATTTTATGCTACTGGTAGGGCTTGAATACAATTTTAAGAACCCTCAGGGACAGCAGTTTCTGATGTCAATTTCCACATATCCCCTTATTCCTGCTGTAGTTCTTTCCTCACCAAAATGGGGGGGGGCACCATTTTGGGATCCACCTCAGGTGGGTGCCAAAATGGATTGGGCTGGTCTAGCGTACAAATAGCAAGAAAGATTCAGCATTTTGGAACACTACAGTTACTTGCCCAAGCTCTCAGTTAATACTTGTTAGAGTTAAGGTTTGATACCAGACTTTTTCATTATTTTCCTTCTGAGGTGACTATAAGGATATTTTTACAACATTAAGCATAGTTTAAACATGCTAAGAACGTTATACAGAATATTCATTTTTTATTTCAGAAACCAACTGTAGAGTATTTTAGTTCTATCAGTACCCCATTTCCTTGGGAGGAAGAGAAATATCTGAAGCCTGTCCTGGAAGATGACCTCTTACTCCAGTTTGGTAGGGTTCTTTTTAATTTTAAATTTGTATACTTATAGATGATGAAAATGTGAAAATTTATATACTGATGGTTTAAAGGGTGGATATATTCTAGGCCAAAAAAAACCTCTCATATCTTCAGATGAACCTAGATGGCATTCTATGTTTAGACTGAGCACCTTAGAGGAAAGATGGGATATAAATATACTTACAAAATGTAGTAATAAATATAGCCTTATTGGCATACAGAACAAGCCATACAGTTATTTGGATCCCAAACACTCAGTAACTCTTAATATTTGCACACTGTGTGATAAATTCTCTTGGTTCATTTCCAGATATAGAAGATCTCCTTGACTCCACTGACATCTTTTGTTCTAATGGACTAACTGAGACTTCGTCTCCCATTGAGCGTTTGAAACATGCAGAGCACAAAGCAGAGCTGGCAGAAGCAGCATTGGCCAGAGCCCAAGAAGATCTTCAAAAAATGAGGTATGGCCAGAGAGCCTTTTACTCTAGTATCTATTAGACTGAAGCATCTTTTAGCGCTTAGGCCACTAGAAACTCAGCAGGATGATGCTTCATCTGAATGGATTAGAAAGAGGTTAGTACGTTCCTTATGAAATTTGGATATATGTGTTGACAGAGAAACCGAGTCTCTGGCTAAGTTGTTGAGAAGCAGGCTTCTGCAAACAAATAGTACAGCTGCCATTCCTATTCCACAGTGTAGGGATGTCACAGACATGGCAGTTCCTGCAGTACTCTTTCTATTTTTGAAAGTTAAAAATTCTTATAAATGGCGGATTTGGAAGTAACGTTCGGCTCTTACTGTTAGAGAAGAAGAAGAAGAGTGAAAGCGCTTGCACAAAATTTAAAATAAAATATAAATAAATAAATGGGGGATTTGCACATCATGTTTCCTGAGGTGTTATGTGGAGGGGAAAGATGCATTTTACTTTATTTTTAGTTTTTAAAAGATCTACCTCTCCTGTTTATCCAAGGGAGAGCCAAGGCAGCTAAGATAAAATAGAAGAAATGGAGCAACAGGTATAATCCCTAAAAGCCGATTCAGCAAAATTAACACAAGTAGGGAAATACCTTTTTTGTAGAAAAAGACCATGCCTTCACCCTCTGCCTGAAGCAGTATAGTGATAGGGCCTGATGGATTTCCTTGGCAAGGTGTCCCATAGGGTAGGAGCCACAACAGTCCCTACCTTTAGCTGGCCTACTAGCCTTGTCTCCCAAGTTTGAGGGATTTGCAGCGGGACCCCAGATGGCAATTGGAACATGCGGGAAAGAACATACAGTAGAAGGCAGTTCCCAAGTTGTTACGGGGTTTAAATATTTAGACCAGTGCTTTTAACTAAGCCTATAGAAATGGCATGATAGAATCAAAACACCTAGCTCATGCCAGCATTTTGACTTTTGTGATTTTGCAGTAATTGAAGTGTCCAAATGCTTTTTCAAGAATAGCCTCGCATAGACTGTCAGAATTACATGTGTCTAAACTGCCAGTCACTGGAGCATGAACGATGAAGGCAAAGCCTGTTTTGTCTGGAAGGACTGTGCCTGGCACAGCAGCCAAAGCTTGAAAAAGGACACCCTTAGTAAACAACATGTGCAACAATTGTGAGATCTGGATTGAGGAATACCTCCCTATCTTCCAGCTATGCATACCTGGTCATTTAGAGAAAAAACTTCATGTAGAATTGGCTGTGAACTCAGTCCTGAGTCACACAGTCAGCCTACAAATAGTTCTGTTTTGTCTGCATTAAGTTTCAACTTCTTTGCAGCCTATCCAGTCCTTCAGAGTTACAGCACAATTCAGCCTTGCAGCTCCTTCCCTAGGATCAGATGAAAATGAGAGGGCGAGTTGGGTGTATGCTGAGGACTTTGCAACCCAAATCTCTGGATTTGTAACACCAGGCCCGCCAGACAGATTCGTTACTCTGCTGGCAAGCTGGAGTCCAAGTCAAAATGGATCTGAACAATTTAATCTGCAAAGTTCTTCACAAACAGATCACAGTGGGCTTCCATGGCTTCTTGTAATTTTCTGAGGACCATGATGTGAAAGGCTCTGCTAGATGGCACTGAGCAACATCAGCCAGGCACCATAAACATAGCTCGTCAGTCAGCCAAGGAACTTTTGGGAATCATTCGGGGGGGGGGAGGCCTTAGGAGCGCCTGCATTAATCCGTGGAGCACAGAAGTGATCAGGCCATCAGCAGAATGGCCAGCTATAATCCCTCAGAGGCATCAGAAATCCCTTTCAATCCATCAGTCTCTAGGGGTTGACCATTTTAATTGGCCTCTGTGGTTAACCAGATTCTAAACCAGCATGTCTGCTTTACACCACAGGAAGAAGCTGTTTAAAAACGTTCTACTTGAAACTCCAAAATTAAGTGTTTTGATGAGATATTTCCTAGTTAAAGGTGTAGTTGCTGTTCCTACAGTCCATGGTTTCAATTCATAATGCACTGATCACAGCTACTCTAGTCTCTTCTTCAACTTATTGCCCCCTTCTCTTGCAAAAAACCTGGAACTTAATGGAGAAATTAATTCTACAAAGTAATTGTATTCACCAACGCAGAGGAATCGTTGGAGATTTAGAGCTCCACTGGTAGACTTTATACACATATATGGGGAATATCTGATCATTTAGAACACATCCCAGAATCTAATCAGGAAAAATAGTAGATATTTATTATTTCCAGAACCTAAAAAAGTTCTCTTGGGTGTTAAAAACCTTTCATTTTAGGCATTGATTTGGAAGTGGTAGCAGATCTTCTCACTGCTTTCAGATTTGTTCAGCAAATAAATTGGGGGGCAAGGGGAGTATTGCCATATCAGGTTCAGAATGGCTTTACAGAATCTGGACTGCTGTAGTAATATCTAAATTAACGTATTATAGAAAATGAGCAATGAAAAAGCAAATAAGCATTTGGAGTGATGGACTGTCCATCCCTAAAGTGTGGACCTTCTCTCTCTCTACAGAGAGGGAGGTCCATGGATGGTGAATGAGATTCACTTTTACACGCCTTCACGTGGTGGGCATGGAAATGGCCACCATACTGTCATTAGAGCTCTAGTGGTGGTGACAGCAAAAAGGTGTTTCGGAGTAGGTCGGGGGGGGGGGCATTGGGAACGCCAAGCCCTCCCGTGTTCTTTGGATCCATTCTCTTGGGGTGGGGGGTATGCCAGTCCAGCCCCCTTGCCATCATCTGCCGTAGCTGCATAAAACCAGCAGGGCTTTGAATTTGGCACTTTTTCTGCCGCAGATCCTTTGTCCCCTGCTGCTGTAGGATTGCGCTGTTAAAGTGAGTGAGCTGTTCTTCCAGCTGCAAATTACAGTCGCTTTGAAAACATGGTACTTTTTATGGCTGCCTTTTCTTTTCCCATAGCCGATGGCTTGTCCTTGAAAGATCATTTTCTGTTTTATTGCTAATTATTTTCAATTATATGTAATAAGGACATCTTGTACTATACCATTTGGGTAAGTGGGGGATCTGTATCCCTGGCTTCTCTGCTTGTTTGCCTGCCTTTTAAGAACACCTTCAAAAGTGCGTCCTCCTTGATATAGTTGTGACTTTTAAGGTTAACGATAGCATCTACTTTAAATGGCTTGATGTGGAAGGCTTTTTATCTTGAAGGTATCTTGTGAAAATAGCAAGTCAGGATTCCAAATCATGAGTTCTAGGGAATCTGAAATGTGGAAAAATACTGAGGCTAGCATGCAAAGAGAATACAAATTTTGTACGCTGCAGCGTCCTCCACAGCAGCCAGTAGGGGGAGCTTCAGCATGCTTCAGATCCATGATAGCCCCGTGAAACTTGCATGCTTTCTCTCTTCACACACCCTCCCCGCATTCCTTTTTATGGTCTCCTTAACGTGTCTCAAGGGTCTGTTCCAAATTGATTACAGACAGTTTGCCCAGGATTTCGTGATGAACACAGAAGTCAGAAGTGGCGCCATTGCGGACCTAAAAGAGGATGAGGAAGATGTTTACTTCAGCTCATATGGCCACTACGGGATCCATGAAGAGATGATAAAGGTCAGCAAACCAGTAGAAGCATGTCTTTCTCGCCATAAAGATGGAAGCCATGGGGGTTTGTTCATAAGTACACTGCAGCATAGCTAGCTGCATTTTTAACCCTGACTGTACTTCCTGGTTGTTGCTCTGTTCAAAGCAAAGGTAAAAAATAAAATTAAAAACCCACAATAAAATCATGAAGGGGGGAACACTACGGAAGAATAAGCACCCAGGGGCGTGCACAGTCTAGCCTTCCTTTACACTGTCCAGAAAGCCAGTCGTAAAGGTTTGTGGATTCCCTGCAGAGGGATGCAGTGCAGCACCAAAACAATTTGGCCAGGAATGAAAACAGTCAACTCTGTTTATCTCCATAATGGAAGATACTTTGGATATAATTACTTTTGGCTCATTTGGATATGGTAGGTCCTGGTGGCTATAAAAGTAGATGGTTGAAATGGAAAGATGAAAGTACTGATGGCCTGAAATGTACTTTGTTCATGAGAACAATCCATAACTTTGTCAGAAATGTTTTTGTTCAAGAGATTAAAAAAAATACCCTGTGTGTGTGTTATGCTACCCCGTTATCAGAATTTTATTTCGCGGGGGTTTTACAATAAGATACAACAACATATCTATTCTCTATAATTGTAATATAGAAAAATCCACGTAGGATTAGGCAGCAGGTGAAACTTGTGGGATGTAATCCCCTGAGACCAGTCAAGTACAACATTCCTTGTTTTCCTAGAGTGGACATGCAAGGGAATTTTTCGTCCAGCCAGTCAAAACTTCCTATTCCTCCCGGCCTGGAGCACCCTTCCTTGCATGTGACTAGTGGGTGGCTGTGACCTTTCCAGACCTGGTAAAAGGCCAAGGCATGCTGCCAATCTCTCTCCTCTTTTCCATCTTCCTATTGTCCTGCAAACTTCCTGGACTGCTAACTGCAGTCATTAGGTCAACCCACATATGGGGTAAACCTCTTTGTATATGCTTGTAACTTTAAGCCTGCCTTCAGGGATCACACTGTGCTCTGCCTGATCGTGAGTAAATTTTCTTTTTATTGCTTATGAACAAGACTGTGGTGTCTTTATTCTTTTAGGAGGGATTAAAGGGCTATTACCAGGAAATTAGAACACATTTCAATCTGGACAAGCCAGATTGAATTGCGTATTGTCTTAAGAAACTCGCGTGAGTTTGCAACTACAGTGGTACCTCGCAAGACGAATGCCTCGCAAGACAAAAAACTCGCTAGACGAAAGGTTTTTCCGTTTTCGATTTGCCTCGCAAGACGAATTTCCCCTATGGGCTTGCTTCGCAAGACGAAAACGTCTCGCGACTTTGTTTTCTTTGTCTAAAAACAAAGACATGTTTTGTTTATAAAGTTAATTTATTTTCCCTTCAATTTTTGAACTGCTCTTTACAGTATGTGTGACTTTAAAGAGCAGTTAATAAACTGTTGTTGTACCAAATTTGGCTTTGTTTGGACTTTTTTTGA